AGCCAATGTCAATCATTTGTAAAAGCTTTGATCAACAGATCAAAGAAGAAAGTAACAAACTAAAATAGGAACTATTAAATACCTTCGTCCATGATCATGCTATCAGTCATCTCGAACGTTTTGAACAGGAAATTCCTGAACTTGCTTCTGTCCAGACCTGTGACTGCTCTGCCCGGAGCAGCTGACTCCCCCAGCAGGTCATGGTACAGTCCGATCAGAGCCTCCACCTCTGTCTTGCTGACTGCGACCAAAACAATAATCGATCACTTTTCTCCTGCCATCTATAGCATTAGCTTTAGCTCTCGGTATCAGTTAAACAATCACAGCAGTGGCGCGTAACGGAAACTATGGCTTAGCTTAGTTTAGCCTAGCCTGAGCGAATCGGACAGATGTTTGTACTCACAGTGCTGCACTTGTTTAGACAGAGTTTCTGCCAGAGTGTGGAGCGACTTTCTCTTCATGGCAGACATCTGTGACCTGCTCAGAACCAGGACGATCAGGACACGTGAGATCCGGACTTTTTATTTACAGTCCGTGGCTCCTCCGCTGGCTGTGGCGTTGATACACGAGGTCACCATGGCAACAACGTAGACTACAAGAGGGCGCATACGCAGGAAACGGAATGTGTTAATAATAAATGGCAGGGCTTTTCAAAGTGTGGGGCGCGCCTCCCCTAGGGGGCGCCAGAGTTCCGTGCTTCCTCCTCTCATGTCATCATCCTCTGCACCACTGTGAAGATTTCCTCTGATGCTCACTGATGACATTTTGACTGACAACCCTCACACAAATCACAAAGTCCATCACAGACACCATCACTGAGCAGGGCAAAGCTGTGGGGTCACTTAATCTCACTACAAATAAAAAGCATAAAACCTGAAAGGGCAAAGTTGGCAACCAGACCCAGAGGAATCCTAAAAGAATCCAAATTCATTACATTTCAACTCATTTTTTACATTTATTTTAATGATTTATGTTTTACAAGTTAATAAGCGAGACTCAAGACCCAGTAATATATCCAGTCCATTCAGAGCATTTCACATAGAATATTGAATGAGTATTTCTTTGAATAAGCACAGCATTGCAAAACGTCAGCTGATGTGACCTTACATTAAAATAGATTTTTAACTTACAAGACACAAACACATAAAGCAATATTAAGACTTTATTTCAGAAACCAAATAACACCCTCTGCTCGACAGGGGTAATCCCTCTTGTGATAAAGAGTCCACTAATGATCCTCTACTTTCCTTTGATGAGTGAAGTGGCAGATGGAAACAAAGAGTGGACAAATTAAATGAAACTGTCTTTTCTTCTTGTGTTCTTGACCCTTTTCTCTTCTTTAATTTGCTTAATGAATTACAGAATACCTACAAGGTCTGACCACAAGGTGGTAGTCAGCGACTCCATTAAAATGAAAAGCTGAATGCCTTTTCCATCACATCCAGTTACAGTGAAGACGCCTAAACATCTGAATCATCAGAGTCCTTCAGGGTGAAAGTGATCAGGGATTAGTGCTATTTTTCTGACGCACAGGTATTCGAAAGTGATTGAAAGGGTTGAGTTAAAACTAGAAATAAATATAAAACAATAACAGTAAATTAGCCTGGGGTAATTTAATTCTAAACATTAAATAATTTCACTTTAATATAATATCAGTAAGTACAGAACACTATTACAAATGCACTTTTTTCAAATAGGGAAAAAAATATACAAATAAGACATTTGAAACGAAAGCAGATTTCAGAGTTTCAAAACTAAATATTTCTGATCTACGCCATTAATTCACAATATTGCACCACTACTGACTCCAAGTGTGTGTCTATGAATAAACAGCGGAAATAAACAATGTGTGTATCAGTGAAGAGGTTAAATGTGCTTTTGTGCTGAGAGTTCAGTCCGACTGTTTTTTGAACATGCGTGTCTGTGCGTCAGTGTCACTCGGACCTGTGAGCGAGGTTAGTTCTGATCGTTAGCTTTGCGTCGATCCAGTGGTTTGGGTTTTCAATCATGGATGTCCACACGGCGACCTCCTGTTCAGTGGAGTCCATCCAGCTGACGTCCTCGCCATAACTCTGACCTGCCATTGAAAACAAAAACAATACCTTATTCATTATTGACTCAACCAAAGGTAGAGTATGTACTCTAATGTCAATGTATTAAATGCCAGGAAACTACGGAATTAAGCTGTGCATCTTCCCATCCTGCAGTAACAATAAAAACCTTATTAGAACAAATGAATGGATTAAGTCAACAGAAAAGTTGCTCTTACTTTGAAACAGGTCCAGGAAGTGTTGCAAATATTTATGTTTGTGACATTTTTGACAGATACAGACAGTGAAACTGTGGCAAGTACAATTACTATTTTGCTGTGAACCGCAAATGTCACACTGAGAAAATAGACCTAGAAATGACCTCTCTCTGATAACATGACCCTCTGAAATGCCTGAAATGCCAAGTGAACAGAATGCAAACGAAAGTGAACCACTGGACTAAATGATACTGTCACCATTTTCCACTCTGACACCATTGTAGGTGAAAAGCTTTTCTGACAAGGGCGAAGAGTGTTGGTTCCCTTCCTAACTATCTGCCACTAAAACAGGAAGGAGTCTCCATAATCAGTCGGCCTTCCCATTTTTCACTGATGCATAATTATGATGCCAGAAAGACACAAAGACATGCGGGTGATCGATATGATTTTCTGTATAAGTGTAGTACAAGCACATCTGTTGATTTGATGAATGTTTACTGCTTTCTCATGCCAACTGTTTCAGCTTACTTGCTTCATACTAATTACAAAATTCTTAATTGCTGGGGCTCCTACTTCTTAGAAAATTAAGCGAGATTGTGATGTGTGTTACATTTATGGAAGCAAAATCAGCCATTAGTTTAAAAACAAGAAACTGGAGTTTATACCGAATACAAAACCCATGTTTATCACCAGAGGTGTCAGATATCAAGATGTCAAAATGTCAGGATGTGAAGGTGAATTTGTCTTTCACCATAACTCTTGATAGGAATATAAATAAAAGTGTTAAAGCGAACAGCGGAGAGACTCTCACCAGTTCCACAGCTCAGACGAATCCCTCCCAAGACGTGCCTCTTTAACCCTTCACGCTGCCAGACCATCAGCTCTGCGCAGGCCTCTCTCAGGTCGCTGGTGTGGAAGCCATCATACACCATGGTGTGGTTGTAGGTGGGGCTGATGGAGTGCTTCACCACACGCGTCTTCTGACCACTTTGACTGCTCGCATCCGGGAGTATATAGCTTGTGGGATTTAAAAAAATTATACGATTATGAATGTTGTGAATTGTGAATCGGATTCTCTCAGCATTTGAATTGTGGATCTTGAAAATGAGGATGAGAAATACATTAACGCTCAGAGATTTTGTAATTTGAAACTGAAACACTAGTTTTTTCATAATACAAGACAGAATGAACAATATGTTTTTTGTTTGAGTAAAGATGTTTGTGTTAAGTCAATCTAAAATGAAATCCAGGATCCACTGAAGTGAGAGGACACATTATGTATTATGAGTTTTTTTTTTAACTGTGGTTTTTACTTTGAACAGCCATGGTATATCAGGAGTTTCACGAGAGTCATTTAAAAATATGGTCATGTTTAAACAGGTTATGTGGAAGCAAACTAACTTCAGTGTATTTCATTTGAAACAGTAAAAAAACACTTTTGTTTCCTGCTGTATTTAGGAGATGACAATAAACTTGCTGGTATCAGTTGATGATCAATGACAAAATATCAACAATTTTAATGCAGAAATGACACACCTTCTCACGAATGAGTCTATAGCGCCTCCTTTGTTGGTCAGGAGGCCTTGAGCCTCCCGAAGCCAGATGTAAAGTTCTCCTGTCAGGGGCAGACCATTACCTTAACACACACACACACACACACACACATACACACACACAAACATGTATCAGACTGACATGATTGCGATATTAGGGTAGGACATATTGTGCATCCATGATGTATGCTTCCTGCTCACCCTCTGATCCGTTTGGGATGAACTTTATAGAGAGCATGATGGTCCCACGACTGCTGATGGAGTCTTGATTCAAATTAATCTGTGATGACAGGAGAGGAGGGGAGCAGAGAAAACAAAATGCAAGAGGAAGAGGAAAAGACAAAGCAGGAAAAAGAGAGCGGACAGGTGGGAGGAGGGAAGCAGAAGTGTGGAAGCAGTAAAAGATTAAGGTTACATAAAACCTTAGTTTATATTCACAGTGTGTCTTCCTCTCCCTTCAGCTTTCCCAGACACAAGAGGCACTCCTCCTTGTATTCCTCGTCTTTGACAAAGCTGCCAAAAGTGCTGCTACACCGACAAACAAGCAAATGTACATGCAGGCATCATATTTCTTTTGGTAAATATCAGTCTGGGAGTACTAAATGCTACAACATAACTTATGTGACTACATGGGTGTGTATTTGCATGCATGTCATTTATTTCTTCTTGTCCCTACCCGTGGCTGCAGGTCCTGCCACAGTGGCTGTGTGTGGGTCCAGTCCCAGAGATCCAGAGCCACCTCCACCTCACCAAGGAACAAGTTCCTCCTGAGGGGCTCGGCATGCCACACCGACAGGTTCAGGGTCCGACTCCGCAGCTCCCCAATCCTCACTTTATACTGAAATCATATGGTTGGACTCAGCCAGATACTTGACAGGGTGGAAGGGCAGGTCAAAGTATTATGGGCCCTATCAACAGTGCAAAAGCTATAAGAAATTAACTTTAAATGTGATCATTTGTTGTAAGGCATCTTCAAAAAAAGGAAGTAAGTGGCTGCAGTGCATGTTGCAGGACACTTAGAGCAGAGCTGAAGGACAAACAGCTGCTAGAGGAATTATGTGATGGCTGCGACTTTATGTAATATGGAAATGAGAGAGTCTCACTCGGAGTGTCTGATCATAGACCGGGTTGAGTGTCTTCTTCTTCACTGAAGTTTTCTTCTTACTGTGACTTGACTTGTCCGGTAAGAGATAGGTTTTAACATATCTGTGAAACACACACACACACACACACACACACACACATACATTTTATGACTGATGATGACTGCTATGTTGCCACTGCAATATGCATATTCAAGTTCATGTATATGCATGCACTGTCACTTACGGGTCAGAGCGGTTCTTGCGCCCTGAAGCAATGTCCTCACAGCGAAATACTTTCACTTGCAGCTCCTCCTTCTGCGTCTCGTAAACCAATGAGAACTGGATACGGCCCCTCACCTCCACCATCCCGAAATCTCCTGAGCTGAACAGACTCATCATGCTGCCACTGAGCTACAACGCACACACACACACACACATGCTGACAAAGATCAGCACCTACGTCATAGCTGAGTCATCTTTCGTGACTGGATGGCCAATTAATCAATTGCGACTGTGTGTGTGCGCGCATGTGTGTGTGTGTGTGTGTGTGTGTGTGCTTGCATACGTGCACGCTTACAGTGTAGCCTGATTGAAGACTGCTGGTGGAGCTGCTGGTTTTCAGAGAGGCTGGGTCTGGCTCTGTCAGGTTGCTGCTCAGAGAGTCTGTGTCTCCGTTGTGGCAGTCAAAGTCATCCTTAACACACACACACACACACACACACACACATGCACGATTTTAAGATACAACGTCACTACTAATCATCCATCAGATGACACCCTCATGTCGTGCCCTATGAAGACTCCTAATATAACTTACTATTGACGAAACATGTGATTGATATATGCATTTAAATAATACAGAATATCGACTCTGTGTCAGCATCAGAAAAGAAAGGGGAATAACTTGCCAGTTAAAAACAGTGTTAATCTAATTATTTGTCACGATAATCTGTGACAGTGGATGTGTTATAATCACCTCTGGTTCCTCTGAGTGGCCAGCACTTCTCCTTTCAAAGTCTATGAATAGAATGATGAGTTTATATTTAATATTAGTACGAAGACACAGTTATGTAGGTACAGAGACAGTGAGATAGAAACTCTCATACCTTTGGATGACAAGGAACTATTTCTATGCTGGAGACTCTGGAATTAAAGATGATTTGTTCATATTTAGATGATTGCTTAGGAAATAAATCCCTGCATGGAAACTAGAAATATTAATGCACACACACACCTGTGATAGAGGGCTTTTTGTTCTAGGTTTTCCTTGACTCCTGAGAAAACAAACAAGAATGAGAAGGAAATTCAGTTTCACTTAAATCTCAGAACAAGTTGTTTCCCAGTCATCACTAACCGTCCATATTCATCCTTCAGTCTACCCTCTGCATCAGGAGAGGAGTCGTTGAGTTGTGTTGTCGCATCTCCATTAAACAGTCCGCTCAGGGGCACATCTGTAACCATGGCAACAACCACAGACCCATCATTGGGATATCCCTGTAACATCAGATAAACCGCCTCACAAGCCAGTAAAAGCAGCACTACATTAACTGGAAACTGACCTCTGCTCTTCGTCTTCCTGTGGCGTACGGTGGCGTGCACAAGATCGCAGACTGACATCCGGTTGTAATGGCGCTTGCTGCACTCCTCGCTGAACCATGCCCCCGACTGTGTGCGCAGACGTGTCGGGTCGGTCTCTGTCTGCTGGAGGATCCTGCAGTGGTTACACAGGGCCGCGTTAAAAGAGGAAACAATCACAACCTCCTGCTTGCAAACGTCAGCTGGTGTCGGACCGACATCTGAAACTTAACACAGGGTTTGTAGTCACTGCTGTCACTGGTTTCATGTACTGTATGTCAGTCAGCATGTCATAGACAAATACATGTCAATTTAACATATATAATAATTTAACATGGCATTAGACTTTATATATATATATGTACATTCATCACCCTGACAATAGGAGTAAGTTAACTGAAAATTAACCCTAAAATTCTGTGGTTTCAGCTTTTTCTCAGTGTTGAGCTGTGCCAACGTGGTGTGTTTATATAGGATTATATGGTTATGATGGGGTTTTGGGAAAATCATGATTATGTGTGGCACATGTTCACATGAGGATACTGTAGCATCATCCACTGCAGTGTGCAGTTAGGAAAACTAAAAAATCAGATTAGAAATTACATTGTCACAACTATTTTCCTTTATTGACGACATAGCAACATAGTGATAAATCTAACAGAGTCTCATAAACAGGTTTCTGAAGTACAGGATCATGTAAACAGTCATGGCCTGAGTAAGAACAACATAGAGGTGACAGATTCAAGATTAAAAGATACAGATGTGTTTTTAATTCATAAATGTCACATCATGCTCTCTGACTCCACTGTAATGTATCCCATTTTAGAGGTCACCTTCAGAAAAAGCATTTTCAATGGTGAACAAAAAGTCTCTGAAAGATTTGATGTATATGAAAATGAGCAGAAATCAACCCAATTGTACTTAAAAGGCCCATTTCAAAACTCTAACTCCAGATGAGGGAATATATTGTTAAAGAAGTATTTTCATCCCCCACAGCTGTTATGGAAGCTTGTGATAGTCCAGTGCCTGATATGAAATGTATGTTATTTTTATTTCCCCATCAAGTTGTCCCCTTTCTGTACTGAGTTCATGACTGAAGTGGCCCCTGAAAAGATAAACAATCACCTCCTGACCTTACACGTCCTTCATCACGATGACGCAGCTCCAAGTCCCGCTGTAAGACCTGCAGGATAAGTGACTGCTCCTGGTCCGTCAGGTGGCTCAGGTCAAGAGAAGAATCAACCTGCTCCCCCTCCATCCCTGAGAGAAGGAAACACAAACACAGTATTTTAAAAAGAGAAGAAATCGACATTGCAGGAACCTAAATGAACTTGATTTACTTTTTTGCTTGGAGTCATTCAGAAGGTGGTGACAAGGTGAAAGCGGTGCGTTACACTGAAGCACAGTTGTGAGCCCATCACATGTTGCATATGTCAGTGAGTTGTGAGTAGTTACACCAGGGAGTGAGTTTCTGTCCTTCTCATTATCATTCAATAAATCTTCAGGCCTCAGATTTTGGTTTTCCCACAAGAAATAATCAGAGATTTTTAGAAAAAAGAAAATGTCAGACAAAAATACATATGTTTTGATATTCTTTTTGAATCTCTTATTCTCTCAATACCCCTCAGAGGGATACTGAGGTGGTTGGTAACCACTGTGTGCTTTGAGGATACACACTTTGAAATCAAGTGTCCTCCTGTGGCTCTGTTAACTCAGCGGGCGACAAGACATGCTGGTCCACGCAGGCTATTCCTGTCTGCTGTTGTGACTTTCATCCCCCCCTGCACCAAACAGTGTCTAATGTAGACTGACAACTATAACATCACAGAAAGCTATGATAATAAGTTTAAAATTATAACATTTAAGCTGCTATTACCATACAATACAACATGATGTTGCACAACCTGTATGAGATACTATAGAAGAAACAGTCCAATATGATACAATATGTGATACAATATGATACACCACAATGCAACATGAAAGATACAAAGGATAAACGGTACGATACCACCTGGAGCATTTCAAGAGTCTTTGGGCACACAAGGCAAAAGGAACCTGTGTGACTACACCAAAACAAACTGAACCACCACCATCTTCAGCTCAGAGGAACTATGCCTATATACCCTGAATACTATACCACACAGGATACAATCACTTTGCACTCATTTCCAGGAGTGATACTGAGAAAATGTTTCATAATGTTAAACTATAGAACAATCTCCCCTCCTACACTGCATGGATATATTATTTTGTCTTCGGGTGTGTGAAGGTTTCTCCTCTGCCTGGAGGCTAGTTACGTTTGAGTAGTTAACGCATGCGCAGAGCGAATCTCCTGTCAAAGCGGTTAGAAGTTAAGCAAACAGGATATTATACACTGGTGCACCTCAGATCTCATAACCTGACAGCTAAACCAACACAGACAACGATTATATTACAGTGCAGAGTAGAAGACATAGAGCAGGCTCGTATGATAGTCTTCTAATAGTCTGACAGTATTCTTACAGCCGAGTCATATTTGCACAAAATGTACACAACAGGTTGCTGATCTTATTTACACAGGGTCAGGAGTCAGTGTTATTTCAGTTTACATTTCTGAAAGATGAAGTGTCTGGTCATTATTATCATCATTATTATTATTATTATTATCGGTGACAGGAAGTGTATAGATAGAGAAAAAAAGTCCCGTCTCATCATGAGCACCGCGAGAGAGAGGACACCTGTCACCACTCTCTCTCTTGTACCAGAAAACACACTCTGTCACACACACTCACACACACACACACACGCACAATGAACCAAAACTAAACTCTGTTACCTTACTTGACAGCTTCCGCCGGCTCCATGTGTGAAAAAGTTTGGTGAAAAGTTGTCCTGAGTGCGGTGGATGTGCGAGTGTGTGTGTGAGTGTGTGTGTGTGTGTGTGTGTGCAGAGTAAACGGAGAGGACACGCCCTCTAGAGTCAGTGAGTCTGCGTGAGTGTGTGTTTGAGTGTGTGTGTGGGTGGGGGGGTGTGGGCGGCGGGGGGGCATGTAATGAAATAAGCACACCATACCAACATATGTCAGTGTGACAAGTGCACAAGGGTTTTGTTAAACTCTGAGGACTTTGCATTCATTGTGGACAGCTTCACTGAATCATTATCCCTGACCCTTAACCAAGACCAATCCATGCCTAACCTTAACCTCACCACAGTTAACGTCTGTCCCATAACCTTAACCATGCCCAACCCTTACCTCTACCCTGGTTCTAACACTATAACCAATCTCAACCCTCACAAATGCTCTCACTTTCCCAAAATGTCCTCACTCAAAGTCTTTCCTCAAAATGGTCCCAGATAAAAGTACACACACACACACACACAGATGTATCACCACCAACTGCAGGTTGGAGGTTGGATGTCATTTTCCTGCTTATGGCCGTCCACACCTGCTAAACACACACTCGGTCACACACTGAGGCTACTGCTGCACCTAGTCCTATGTACACACACACAAACACACACACACACACACACACACACAGAGTCTTGCACACACAAACATAACTTCCTGCTTGATTTAAAGTGGGAGACAGAATAGCCAGCAGCCAACAATTTAGTGTGTGGTAATGTGTGCTGGACTTTCCTTTCTCTCACTGGAAATGTGTTTGTGCTTGTGTGTGTGGGGGGGATGGTCCGAGTGGAGGAAAAAAGACTTGTATTCAGTCCTGTCTTTTGTCAACAGACTTGGACGACAGCCACAGTCTGCCCAGTTGGGAGGCTTTTTTTGTGTGGGCTTATTCAAGCCTGTGGGTTCTGGCTCTGACAGCGGGCGGTGCATCCAGCCAGCCGTCCTGCTGCTCCCCTAAAGGCCTCCACCATCACTGTGTTCCCACTGCACGCTGCAATCCACACTGACACCCACATATCCATGGATAGGTTGGTCTTATCTGCACGTCTGTGGTCGCACCCAGTTCACAGTCAAATCAGTTCAGGTAAATATGCACTCAATACATAATGTACTGAACAAACTCTGTTACTAACTCTTCACTGGCATCTAAGAGAAGAGATATGACACACACACTGAGAGAAACAGGTATTTATTTATTCATTGTCATAGCATCACAAAAAATCCAAACATTTCATTATCAACAAACTAATCAATATGAACACAAGTGAACAGTGTCCCATCATATTTCTGTGATCTGTTATCAAAGGGTTAGAGCTGGTATGTCAATCAGAGCAATTAAAACTGACGTCTCCATGAAAATAAACTTACAAAAAAGCTCTTGACAATTCAAAAACACACAAATCAAAGCAGTGCAGTACTAACGTCACATTCGAGCTTTTCAAGTTTGAAGGATGTCTGATAAGTCTTAGATGTTAGGTTAGAAAGTGTAAACCTTTAATCCTCAAGATGTCTCCTAAACATCCCTAGACAAAACATTTCACTGACTACAAGTTAATACATAAAATACATACATAAGAGACATTATTTTAACTTTTGCTTTCAAAAAAACAAGACTAGTACTCATCGACAAAACTGAGTTTCACAATCTCATTTTGGGAAAAGTTGAAAATGCCTTTAATAACCTTGTCTGACCTCTTGTCTACATATCACCCTTTCCCATTGTTGCACTGTATTGTTTACACAGTTAAAACATTTGATACAGCCTTGTTGTTTGTAAGAGGACAAACTCTTAACTTGTTAAATTAGTTTCTGTGAAGATTAATGTTGAGTTCCAATCGCAAAGCTCATTCGCTGAAACAATCAGAGACTGTTTGTTTCCCATTTGTCTTACTGTATGACTACTTGCAGCCAAAATGTTTCTGAAGTAGAAATGTGGTGCTATACACAGTGAACACATGCACACACTCGCTACACAAATTTGCAATCTGAAGAAAGTTTGCATCTTATAAATACACCCATCCCCCAGGGGTACACTTGGGGACCACACCGAAAATGACAGGGGCTCAGGAGGAGAGAAATAAATATCTCACGGTCACAAGTCGATGAGTCACTGCTCTGACGTCCTGCACACTCATCTGCTTGTCCTTCACACGCCTTGACTTCATTGCGGCTGCTCTCTGTGTGAAGACAGACAGAATTTGATATGGACGGATGAGGTTAGTGATGAGAATCAAAATACAACCCAGGGGGATGTTGAAGGTGATTCATGCTGGTGCTGTTGGTCACTCCTGCCACTAGAGGCTGCTGCTGCACCAACACATTATCACTGCACACAGATTTACACTCACATAGTTATATTCTCTGCCCTCTGGAACCTACATGCATATACTCACATGGGGTCATAGCTGCTCTGCTCTTTGGATTTGAGGAAACGCATGGCGAAGAAGCCGCCCGCCTGCAGGCACAGCACCAGGATGATGCCACCGATAAAACTGGACATGTCAAACTTGGCCTGGGAGAACTCTGGAGACGACTTACTGCCATCACCTGCAGACAGAGGACGGATTTAGTGCGTTTATGGGTTCAATGGGTGAAATTGCAAGAAGCAAGAGAGGGAGGGGAACAATCAGTGTCAGGTTCTGGGAAAGCACTTAACTGGTGAGTGAGTGAGTGAGTGAGTGAGTGAGTGAGTGAGTGAGTTTATGAATGGCATCAGGGGCACATTTTACTCAGCTCCTTCTGGGAATAATAAATGTCTGACGCAAAAGGCAGGGGAGAGGAGGGGGAGGGAGGGGATGCTGGAGTGGAGCGGATATAATTTACCTGAGTCACCTTCGCCTCCTCCCTCAGCCACCGTCTCTACAACTGGGAAATGGAACGTGCAAACGAGACGAGTGTTAGAGATGATGCAGGGAGATGATCTGTGATTTGTGTCAGTGTCAGAGGGAACTGTTTGATACCTGTGCACAGTTCAGACACTCTGGTCCAGCTGCAGTTCATGGAGGTGTCTGCTGAGTCGCCCTCATCAGTCACACACATCCCCGTATCATTACCTGAGACAGAAAGTACAGGCATTTTAATGTGTGTGTGTGTGTGTGTGTGTGTGTGTGTGTGTGTGTGTGTGTGTGTGTGTGTGTGTGTGTGTGTTTCATGTGCACATTCCCAGCATACTTAATAATTCAGTCATCGTGTACAAACCGGGGAAGCTTATGTTACAGTAGCCGTGATGATTGAATTACTAATTACTATCAGAGGTCACAGGTGGGTGTGCATGTGTGCATGTGTGTGTGTGTGTGTGTGTGTGTGTGTGTGTGTGTGTGTGCGTGGGCACGTCACCATCTGGACAAAGCCTCCAGACGCAGCCTGTCAGGTTGAGCATGGAGTCTCCAACGCACAAGTCACATGACTCAGCCTGGGAACAATCTGGAGGAGGAGGAATAACTGGCAGTCAATTGGAAGTGTCAGTCATTGCCAAGTGATCGGCTGATGCACAATTATCTTCCCACAGAGAAATAAATGTTAAAAGTATAATTACTGCAAGAAAACTGGTGGGACAGTCTGGACGGTGTCCGAATAGGCAAAACTGAGTGGGAAAAAACAGGAGTCGTGCCAAAGGAAGGATTTTAGATTCTCATTCACCTCTCACACTTTCACTTCTTGTCAGTTTGTGCGAAATACTGGAGAAAAAACACGAACACTAAATCAGAGGAGCGAAATGATTGTGGAAAGATTCAAATCAGGCTTGGGTTTAGTTGAGGAAAGATACAAAAAGGAGGAAGACACCAACAGGTTACTCACAAGTCAACAACCATTTAAGGTTGTGCTGTCAATTAAGGGTATTGTAAAAGGTGGATGCCTCATTACCTGACTGTGAGTACACATAGGTCACCCCAGCTAGAAGCAGCAGTGTGGAACACAGGACCTTCAACACAGACTGCTGCATCCTGACAGCCACAGACGACAGAAGTTGTCAGTAAAAATGTCTTTGGTAAGTCCTCAAAACAGTATCCAAGAGTTGCGAATGGAGAAACAGTTCCTGTCCAGGGCACAGAGAGACAGACAAAAGGACAGGAGACACAGAGATCTGTGTAACATGAGCGACACCCAAACTTGGTTCCCAGGCAACCAACTGGCCCACCTCACCTCCCCTGAAACACACACCAGTCAGGACAGACTGACACCTGCTTACCTCAGCAGGCAGTGTACGCGCACACCTACACACATGTGAGTGTTTGTTCGAGGGTATTTGCTTCAGAACCTGGGTCTCAAAACAACTTAGGGTGTAAAGAATGTCAGGCAATCAAGGTTTTTACAAGCTGTCCCTTCAGGGACCGATGACATCTGTAGTAAGTTTTATGGATATCGATCCAACAGTTGTTGAGGTATTTTAAGACCAAATTGGTGGAGTGACTGACAGACACCGAAAGACACTCTGCTACCTTTGCTAACAATTTATCTCTGTTACACGACGTATTACGTTTATCTGCCTTTTTTGTTTTTCTTTTAAAATATAAGACATGTCCCACTATCCAGTTCTCATACACTTACAATTAAACAACCTAAAGAAAGGAAAAATCACTTTAATCCAACTGATCCCAACTTTTGTCCGCTCTGACATGACAACATGACACTGGGTTGCTACATTTTTAACAGTCACAAGCCAAATTTGTGTTGTTGAGCCAATTTGTCATTTGACTCAATATACGTTCATTTTCAGTTTATCAACATTAGTGATATGAATGCTTCAAACAGTTCTCAGTGTGAACGACGTTGGTGTGGGAAGTAGAGGTTGTCAGATTCCATGTGACTATGTACAGCCCGTACTCAGTAGTACAGTAGTATAGACGTCCATCATCAACTCAAAGTGTAGCACTGGCGACAGTCTGTATGAAACCATCCAAACCAGAGAGAAAACTCACTGAGCCCATTATGCTCATAGTTAGATATGTATCTGTCTGTACTCTGCGTTCAAAAGCAAGAAAGCTTATGGATACGGACGAATTGGGAAATTGTTGGGGATAATGTAGCCAATAGTTCAAGTGCGACCACCATAAATGGAAGAAATTTCAACAACGGCAGAACATATGACGTTACAAACAGACACTTGTGCCTCTTTCTTAACAGGTACATTATCACAACTTTCTCAGACGTCACCATGTTTCTTGTTGTCAGAACTCTAGACTCTTTGCTGCTCTCTGGTGGATATATTGCTAAACAACCATGGAAACATAAAGGACGCAGATATTACATATCTCTTTTTGTACATGAAGGCAGCATAAATAAGCCTTAAAGGGGGGGCTCGGGGGGCCCTACTCTGAAAAGGGCTCATACCTCCCTGTTGTAGCTGCGCCCCTGTACACAAACACGCACCAGCCCTGAGAACCAGGTGAATCCAGTCCTGCATCACGACACACTTTGTCATCTAAACGCAGTGAATCCCACCATCCCCTCCACCTCCTGAGATCACACCGACATCATGCTCCTGTGTGCGCGCCCACGTGTCGAACTGTGTTCTCACACATTGTCTGGCTGAGAGAGGCGCGGATCCACGGGGGACCTGGTGTGTCGGCGTCACTTAAAAGGAATAAAATGAAACAAAAATAGAATAAATAGAAGGATACTCCGCAGTCCTGTCGAACACGATTTCCTCCCACTGATGCTCCTCCATAAAAATCGATGCACCGGCAAGAAATGAGGGAATAATGCTGCAATTTACAGCCTGGGGCGAATAGACTGGTTGGTATTAATAAAAATACGTGCACAGAATATATGATGTTACTGAATGAAAGATAAGAGTCCAACTAAAAAAGAAGAAGAAGAAGAATACACAATAATTTAGTGTGTTTTTGCAGTAATAATCAACACATCCTTACAAAATCCCTTCATTAGTATAATTTGCTGTTCAATACCATCCTTCAAAAATATGCTCTTTCATTGTTTTATAGTGGTGAGCAATGATTTGTCTCGGAGTTCTTAGTCATACGAAAAAAAGCAGCTCCACTGAGTTCAGTGCTGCACTTCACATTCTCTCTGCGTGACGTAGGAGGGGTTTATCAACCGGAAGCGTGCCCTAATATGGCTCGAACAGGACGACTTTCCCTCCGTTCACGCATTGATATGCGCAGACACGTCCAGCACACACTCCCGCATGCAGCGCCCACGCTCCCCCATCAAACCGGGGAAGCCACGAATCCCCCCTGCCGGTGTTATGTTAGGGCACGGAGGGGGCTCCTGTCTGTGTCAACTGATGTTGCAAGATTAAATCAGATGGAATACAGGATGGATTATTATGTAAGGCAATGATCAAAAACAAATAGGATCCATGTACTCGACTTACATCAACACACAAATTGTTCAGACTGCACCGTAAGATTTCTCAACCATTTTGGGGCAATTACATCATGTGCTTTACTAAATGAAGTGCTCATTACATCAGTGGTTATTTTGATGCTCCTCTTTGTTCAGATGTTACACTGATGTATTATGTTTAAGCCTGTGTCTGCCCACCTCTGCACATACACGATTGCACACAACATTTGGCAATGGAGATGAGAAATGATATCACATTTTTAGCTGAATCCTTCCACACACACACACACACA